TATTCTGGTTGAATATAAATACATTATTTTGTTTCACTCTTGGAAATAAAAAGAAAATTAAGATATTTGGAATGGAAGCTTACCTGCCTGCAGTAAAACATACCCCATTGGCAGATCCAATTGTAGAAAAGGCCACAAAGAGAGGAATTATCCAGGAGGCTGGATAAAGGGCTCTGTCTCCAAACGTCTGGGATATGGGATTAAAATTAATCACTTTTGTTATTTTAACTACTTCTTGAAATATTAAAATGTTGGTGCCACTTCAAAAATAGACTGTATTTTTAACAATGAAATGTGCATTGTATATATTCAGGAGCATTTAGCTAGATTAGAACTTGAATTAATTCATGTAAGACTCTATAAGGAAGAGAGGTATTATTGTCCTGGTGTTTTTGATGCAGCGTATGTAGGAAACCCTGGGAGACCGATGTGGAAAAAATACAGTGAAATTCAATTCTGTTTAAGAGACTTGGTTTGGGGATGTCTGCAAAACAAAAGATATGATTGCTGCAGAGCACTGTATGCATACAACCTACAGAGAAAAAAGTTACATCTTCACTACCATTATTATTCTGAGGCATTATTATGGGTGAACACGTGAAGGACAAATGTGCGAAGTTTGCAGAGTTTCTGCCACCTTGTTACATTACAGTTTCTACATGATAAATTGGGTCTAATGTAGATACATTCATCTGCTGTAAGGGAATTTAAATTAAAACTTGGACAGGAGGGGTGTCTTGGATTTTAACAGTTGATTAACTTTTAAGTCAAGCATAAAGAGTTCAACTTCTGCTCAAGTTTACTATCAAAGTTTAGTTGCTTTATCCAGTAGCAGGGTACTCACCAGCATTGAGCAACAAAGCTGCTTTTAGAGATGCGTTCATACAGAGCACTCATTCTGCTGTTTGCTGCGTTACTTTCGTACTGCCCAGTAGCAGTTGGGATTCTCTTCGTCTCATCACTTCGTAGCTAGTTCTGTGCTAGCTTACATAGGTGGTGATCTTTATCAGCATTGTACTTTGGATTAGGTACTGCACCTCTTGGTGGAGGAAAAACAAAGATAAAACATAATTTTGATTAATTTAGTTATAAGATTTTCATGTGATTGAGAATTTTTATGTTTTATGTACCTCTTAATTGTGTTACGCTGCCTTCTGTATGCATATGAGATGCTCTTTGTTTTTACATAAAACCAACAATGAAAAATTGCTGTAAGGCACTGATCAGTGGTTTGGGAGATGGATCCCCTGGAAAATGTAATGACTGGAACTGGAGGGACAGATGTATTATATACATTTCTAATGTTTACGAAACATAGTTTCGTAATTGTCGATAGTATGTCTTGCAGAAATGAAAAATTGATTACCCTTAATCACGTTAAGTTAAAATTACATCTAATGAGGAAGTGACCTAGAGCTGACTGCTACCTTCAGAATGATAAGGTCTAATCTACTCCTTTTGCACGTACTTGTTTCTTTGAACTACTGGAAAACTGGCAAGGACAAAGTAGCAGCTATTTTTCCTTATACTTCTTATTGCTTATGGGGGAAAAAAACAGCTGCTGAGCTGTAGCCTTTACAGAATGTTACCTCAAAGACTGCATTACTTTTGCTTGCATTTTTTTTCTTGGGATATGATGAAGCATTTTAACTTAGTCATTGTAATTTTTTTTTTTATTGAGAAGATAACGGGAGTTGGGGAATGAAGGTGTGAGGCTGACTGTTCACAACTGAATTCTATAATTCTATCTTAAATTTTACGTGTTGCTTTTTATTCATTTTTTACTGCAGAAGAAGCTCTAATGCACACAGCCTTTTTCAAATCCTTTTCTTTTTTTTTTTTTTTTTTTTTTTTTTTACAAAATAAGGAGACTTACCACAGCAACTGCCTGGGACTGCAGGAGTTCTGTTGGAGTCATTATGGTGAAATATGAAATGTTTATCAAAATGTAACAAACTGTAACCAGGGGGATTCCAATAATTATAGATAGTGGTAGGTTTCTAAAGAATGCAAAAGTAAGACTTCATTAGCATTGCTGTGTCATTGGCAATGTTACTGCAGTAAACTGGACTCTTTTTCCTCGGGTACTCTTCAGGTATGTTTACGTTCCTTTACTGTAGAGCAACAGAAATCTGGATCAAAAAAAGAAACCACGTTTATGAAAGCCAGAATAACTCTTTGTCTGCTAGTACTCAAAGTTTGAGTAAGCATTCCTTTTGAAGTCAAGCCAAAATATGTGCTTGCTTGTATAAAAATTGAGTTTTATCTTTATTGATAGAAATAAAACTTTTTTTTGTTTTTTTTTTTTTTTTTACCAGTAAGGATTCTTCACTTCTTCTGTGATATAACTGAGTTGATTCCTGGAAATAAAGACATTAATTAGATGTTACTAGCAATCAGATGTTACTTCCTCTTACTATTTGCCTTTCCAGTTTTTAAAAAAAAAAAAAAAAAAAAAAAAGTAAAACTGCTGGTCAAAGAAAAAGTATGAGTTTCTTATTCAACTGTGAGCCTCAAGTAACTTTTTCCTTCTTCAAGTTTTGATGCAGCCTGCAATTTCAGAAGCGTCTGTATAATTTTGAATTAGATTGTCTTAGCTCCTAGGTATAATGTCCTGCAATAACCAGAAGCTTCCTTTGAGCTTCAACCTTTATAATATCTAAATCTTTTCAAGTAAAAGCACTGTTTGGCTGTACCCACTGCAAGGACACAAGTTCAAGTCTACTGATCTTTAACAATATCTCTGTAAGTTATATTGTAAACACCTTAAAGTGGAGTTTACAGTTCCAGGTACACGTTTTCAGTAGACCACAGACAAGATTAAAACATTTTATTTTTTCTTTTACTCTTCTGCTTCTGAAAACATGAGGGGAAATTCATATTTATAGTTTGCCCGGCAGCTTTTGAAATTTCAGTCCCTGATGGTTTTTGAAGTAATTATTCAGGATTTAGGCAGTAGCCTTCCCTTCCCTCCCCCCCAAAAAAGTCTAGGTAAGTATCTGAAATACAGATGTGCATGCTTGAGTTGAGAGCCTCAAGCTTGAAAAGAGAACCTTAAAGAATAATCAATTTAAATTTGGACTGATATTTTGTCGGAATTTGATTTATTTATTTTTTATTTTAATTTTGATTTTTTTGATCTTAGATTTGTATCAGCAGAGCCTGGAGCCAGTTCACTTTCCTGTTAGTTCCAGGAAGTGAAATGTATATTTTCTGTACTTTAGCAGAGATTATCTATATTATAGAGATTATCTATATTCCTCAGGTAAATAAGGTTATTCTGATGAAAGTAATAGAGGAAAAGTAGTCTTCTAAGTTACTGAATATGGATGCTTTATTTAGAACATGAATGTAAACCTAACACCTTCCATATTTATGATTATTATCAAACATATTTTCTTTGTATTAACACAAGATAACAACAAAACAGATGAGATATACACTGGGAGCTTCAGGAAAGGAATTGTTGCTATGATAATTCCAAGAAAAGATGTAAAACCATGTGAATTAAAACTTCTAATATTTACATTCTCTTGTACTAATTGAATGTTTCATAAAACATGGACTTTGGGGGTAACCTGTAAAGCTTTTGCCTGAGCCTAATGGAATTAGCTGTTTTTATGTCTCTCTCATTACTACAGTATCTAACCACCTTTAGCACCAAATCGGTAGTCTTATCAGGATCTACTGTAAAATTTTTCCCTAATAAACAGTGACCTGTGGGTTTTTTTAATTGAGGATACTGTTTTTCGTCCACAGTTCATTATGAGTTTATTTATGAAAATTTAGATGTTAACTTACATCTTTTGAGTTCTAATGGAGGAGAGAGTTAAAGGCTGTTAAAATGTAACTGTTAACACTGTTAAAGATACCTTCCCATCCATCATGTGCCCAGAGTCCATTGTAGAATGCCAAACCAATTAGAGCTAAGAGAAACTTTACTGTCCTTGAAAAACCCAAAACTTTCAAGATTCTTTCCTGGAAATAAGACGAATACTAGTGACATAGTGTTGTAATTTGGCTAATTGCCACCAGACAAAGAAAAACTCCAGCATCTCCTGGGTCTTTTGAAACATCTTGTTAAAAATCAATTGATAGAATTTTTATGAACTTACTGGTAGTATTGAAATTCTTACCCCACTTCCTCTTAAAGAAAGTACTGTAGTTTTGAAGAGTCTTTGGGACAGCAACACTGAAGAAAGATAGCCTTATTTTTGTGCCACTTTTTGTCAGTAGGAAATTCTTAAAGATCACAGCAGAAACTAAAATAATTGTTGGAAGTGAATGTATGTTTTGATTACCTTGTGCAAGGAGAACAATCCCACTTATAGCAATGATTGCCACAACTATCATTTTAGCAGCTGTGAGAAAATTCTGGAGATAACTTCCCAGCTTAACATTCAGTGAATTCACTATTGTAATTACCACTAAAAGAAATAAAACGTGTTTTGCATTAAGTTTGTCAGAGCAGAGAGAAAAGTACGTTTGAACATTTTTTCCCTTCCTCCCTTTAATGCTTTTTCCTCATAGGCTATATATGTAACTCACAATTTTTAACGTGAATGGTTGATTTAAAATAGCAAGGAAAAAGTTACTGAATTAGGTATCTACCTTTAACAACAACAAAATTATGTACATAGAACTGCATTGCATTATGATAATGCAGAAATGCCTTTGGTAACGTTTTTTCTTCCTTTTCTGCTACAGATAAGTGTTTGTTTTATGGCTGTATTTTTCTTGGTGAAGAAGAAACCTAGGCTGGAAGCAAACCATCTATTTTGCGTATTGAGTCAGTGAGTCCTTCCCACAGTTACTACCGTATTGTTCCAAAATTAAAATAAATTGCTATTAGTAGTTTAAAAATAATGAATAAAAATTAATATTTTGGTCCAAAATAAAACACTGTTCCACAGTTCTGTTCCTTTTAGTGTAGCATTACTTCCTGCTGTCCTCATAAGGATTAATGTACTGAATTCTTACTGTGCTGAAATAGATGAGGATAAACAGAAGTTGCTTTGCAATTATGGAATTTGCCGCTTATAAAATAATAAAAAAAAATCTTACCAATGGCAGCTGCTGCAAGGCACTTGATGACTACTTGAGGTGGATCACAACCTGGATAAAAGGGAGCTGATGCATATTCTGCAAAGCTGAGACATATGATAGCGAAAGAACTGGGTTTTATGACAAGCAGGCTCGCCCAAGAAAACAGAAATGCTGGTATTGGGCCAAAGGCCTCCATAAGGTAAGGATATTCTCCTCCTGATTTTGTGATCGTTGTACCAAGTTTAGCAAAACAGAGTGCACCTGAGCAGCAAGAAATACAGTTGTTAGTTTTTTGTTTGGTTTATACCTATCTTAAACTACTGGCTATTGATAGATAGTGCAATTGCAGAAGTAGATAGATATATGTAATGTATCCTTAATTCTTTCATGTTCGTGTACATTTGACTGTGCGCATCAGATTTTTAATTGTGAATTGTGAGGATGTGTGTGAGTTTGTGTAAAGCACTGAAACTTCAGTGACAATCTAGAATTTACTGTTAGTCGCATTTAAGACTCGTAGATCAAGTACAAAGGTTCTGATTGCATTAAGAGCCAACACTTAACATCAGATGACAACTGCAGTAAGTTGATGTACTTTTTAGAAACCTATGGGGAAAAAGATCTTGTTGCACAATTTTGAAGAAAAATGTCTACTGAGCTCATCTTTAAAGTACAATGGCACTTTTAGTTTCATTGTGGTAGTTGGTATCTCACTCAGAAATGGTTGTTTTTATGCTCTGTATCTGACATAACGAACACTTAATTCCTTCTTTTCCTAATTGAAATATTCTGAGGTGCTTAGTACTAAATTTTGTATGATAAATTTAGACTTACACAACTACAGAAAAACAGTAGGAATACCAGGCTGCTGCTGATAGATCTTGCATAGTATTTTGCCTGTGACTTAAGTAGGTGTTCTCTTCATTACAATTAGTGAATAAAGTGAACAAAACTTGAATCCTGCTTCAAGAAATAAGCTAAAAACGTTCTTTATGATTTTAATAGCTTAATCTGTTGTTTATAAACAACACATTTATTGCAGTCATCAGAGTATTACTGATGTTAATCTAAGTGCTATTACCTAATTTCCGAAATGAGTTATATGCAGACACAGAGTAGTAAATTAAATGATTTAAGCAAAAATTCAAACTTGTTGCGTGGACTCCGTTTACCTAGTGTTGCGAGAACTCCACAGACTGCCCAGATGGTTAAACAAGGACCCACTGCTCCAACATTGGCAAGTACTGATTTTGGAGAAACAAAGATACCTGAACCAGTAATTGTGCCAACGATCATACAGATTCCACTAATCAGACCCACCTTGAAATAGAAGGAGACGTTTCGGTAAAGGAATTTCTAATAACCACTTTTCAGTTTAATATAACAATAGTAATTGACATCAGTGATTTATTGTTGTCGCTTTCAACATGAGGTTTCAGCTAACTAGTAAACTGGAATTTCTTTTCTTCCAAATACCTACATGGCCTGTGGCATGCTAGCTTGCGTATTTGTTTTCATAAACCATATTTTGTTTTTTGAATTATATGGGTCTCAAAATCAACTTTGTACAAATGAGCAATTATCTGTATTTGACTTATTGTGTTTGTTTCATTACCTGCTCTTTATGAAATAGCTATTGTGATCAAACTGAAAAACCTGAACCTCATCTGTGGAGATGATCACATTACAAGAATTTATTAGATCTTTCTAAGGGGCACTGTGATATATCATTTTACTAGAAGCAAATTGATCTTATCTCAAGAGCTTTAAATTCCCCACTTCCTCATTTTCCTGTTGGATAATAAGTTATTTATGAGTTCTTTAAGAAGTAGGTTCATTTTTATGATACATTTTATTTATAGAATGATCAAAAACTGTTTCTTTGTAGACAAGTGTGGTGAAGAGAAATCCTTGCTTCACAGTGTTCAGTCTGAGAATCTAATTTGATGAAATCACACCTTCTGAATTTACTGATTCAAGTAGTCTCATTGAATTCAGTGATAAAATTCATCTTTATATTTAAACATACAAACAATTTTTGAATATTCTGTTTCAAAATGGCTCTGTTTTTTTTATTTCATGACACTCAGTTTAAAATCCAGCAATCCTAAACAAGGGTTCAAAGCACAGCCAACAAACTTATGCCTTGTGAATCTAATACTGCTGTCATTTTATTTCATTTTGATTTTTAATATTAAAGAAAAAGATAAAATATGAAGAAGATTCTTATACTCAACAGAACTAATGAATACATATATGTGCTAATTTCACCTTGAGGGAGGTTGCACCTTAAGGAATATAGCACGTTTCTCTGACATTTAAACAACCAAGGTGAATGACTGAAATCTGTGACCCTTCCCCTCCCTGTTTCTATCCTGGCCTATATTTCTGCCCATTCTTAAAGTCATACATTTCTAGTGCCAAGGCAGAAAACCAGTCCCTTCAAATTAATAGGATCTTTGGCACTGAATTTAAGAACCTTGAGTCTTTCAAGATGAGAATGTATCTCCATTTAAAGTCATGTCAGCAAAGGAAGACTTTAGTGTTTTAATGTGCCTGTGGCTGAACTGCCAGACAGCAGACGTTGCACCTCAATATGGATCTTAATGCATGACCTCCCCTGCTTGATATAAGGAAAACCTCTATTTGCTCACTGACCTTTATAACTGGGCCAGCAAATGTGAGCAAGGAGAAGAAGGCACCATGACAGTTAGGTTACAAAAGGCAGTCCCAGCTTAGAGACAGTGGGTGAGATGTGTATCAGCCATCAGAATTGTGCTTCAAGAGGCAGAGGAGAAATGAGCATCGTGAGAACAAGTAGCCCTGTGGTCACTGCAGACAAAGGAGAGAGGAGAAATAGAAATATTGCTGAGGGAGACTGCTATGAGATTGCAAGTTTCCATGCACTGCAGTACGTGTCTGCCTGTATCTGTTTCCTGGTGGGGGCAGAACTGTGTTGTTTTCCTGTCTCCCTACATATACAACAGCTTCACGGTTTCCAAAATGTGAGTTTCTTTCTCCAGCTCTTACTGTTTAGCTGAAAAGTGTTAACTCGAAAAGTTAACCATGGTTTTAAAAGGCATCATGTAAGTCAGAGTGGTCTTTCAAGAGTGAGTATCAGAGACGAAAATATAAACTTGATCACCAAAACTACTCTTAACTCAAATCTGCTCCCAGCAAGATTCAACCTTATGTTATTTTTCACACCATTCCTTCATTTCCTTCTCTCTGTACTGTCTTGGCTTTGTGTTTTCGCCTGGGAGCCATCATACCCAGAAGACCACTCACATATTTATAACTCAGTAAATTGATTCATTCAGGAACCTGAGGTGTTATGTGGGAGGGAGTGTGAGCACTGACAAAAGGAACCTAGGTTCAAGAACTGTGCTAAAAGCACAGTTGGCTTCTGGATTGGCCTTCAGAAGCCAGAAAAACATATGCAGTAACACTCATACGTGTGGCCACAAGAGAATGATGTTTCCACATGCTACCTTCATCTGCTTATGCGTTAATTTTCTTTCTTTTGTGAACTGTTTATTCTTGACTATTAAAACCATAGCATCTTCAATTTACCTCTATTCCATTTTATGTTTCCTCTTTTTTTTTTTTTTTTCTTTTTGTCCTTATCATGAAATGTCTTCAAGATTCAGTACAAAACAACAATCAAAGAGAAATCAAAAAGACCTACTTTTCATTATGTTTGCTGATTTAGAGAGAATGTCTTTAAAAAAAAAAACAACTGTTTGTTAATTGAAATAAATCAGGAACGTTGCAACTCTTAAAAATCAGCAGTCAGGGTTTCTACTGGTTCCTATCATACCCAACTGGGGCCAGACTTCCAGGAAGAAAGGTCAATGGTCAGGGTCTTTGTCAAAGGGCTGAAATTCAAAGGGCTCTGTATCATAACTGTGAATAGCTCACCTTTCTTTCTATAGTACTGATGGTTTCCATTTCCAGCTGTCTTCCCTGTAGAGGTGAGGCAGCTATTTGTGAAGCCATTGCTTGAAATTACTGCCTCAAATGTATGGATAAACCAGCACTTGATTGTGCTTAAAATCTGAACTCTAGTTGGTTCAGCAGCTGCTGTACAAGTAAATTAGTTTTTCAGTGGCAGAAATGAGGTCAGTGGGGGAGCAGAGAGGGAGGCCACAACAGATGTGTCATCATGTGTTGCCATTAAAATTGGTTATATATGGCGAATAGAGATGAGACAGATGAATGAGCTGAAATGCTAACATTAAAAAAAAAGAGATATGCACACAAGTCCTGTTTGTATTATAGAACAGTCAGCATCTCTGATTTCTAAATGATGTCAAGGCATATAATCAAGTAGTTGACCATTGCTTCTTACTTTCATTCTTAGCAAGGTGTATTTGGATATGTATTTTGCAAAAATTCATGAGAAATAATTTATCTGTGCAAGGCAACACACAGAGTGATATTATTTGATAACACTGAATGAAGCAAAGCAATTAAATATAACACACACATATGTGAAATACTGCAATGATTCTTTAGCTATTGTATCCGCTCAGATGAATTGGAAGGGAGGACTGACAGCTAATGAGTGTACATGTAGTTTTGTGTATTAGAGTGCAGAACTGGTTTTATAAAGGACTGTATTCCTCCTCAGCAAGTATGTCACAAACCTGTCTAAAATAGATGTCTTTAAAAATGTTGAGAAGGTTGAGCTTAATATCCCATAGTTTTTTGTCCATTCAGAGTTAGCATGTAATTTTGAGTAGTCAGACCTCTAAACTAGTTGTGTAAGTTCCATTTAGAGTTAATGGTGATCAAGAAGAACTTACAGATGATGAGATGTTTCCTTTTGAGACAGGTACACATAAGTGAATTTGGAGCTTTGATTAGTATGGTCATTAATATTAAATCTTTGCAAAAGCATTTGCCAAAGTTGATCTCATAGATGCGTTACTGACAGATGAACCTTCCTAGAAAGAATGTGATAATGAATTCTGGTAGTGGGTACAAGGTGGATTTTGGTGCAGAGAGGGAATGAAAGGGAAAAGTTTATGAACTGCAAGGAGGATTTATATATCTGTAGCTCTGTGCCAGTGATAGAATAAGTCCTTACAGATTGTACGAAGTTTATCCTTGTTTTGCACCATTGTTTTGACCACTTTAAAAACAGAAAGTCAGGAAACAGATAAGCTTTACATTGGCTTTGGGATTGTAGTTTTGTGGAAAGGTCATGCTACACATCGTGCTCACACACTTTGGAATAAATGTCAGGACTGTGTCTTGTAGGTGATAAATGTGACTGAATCTTAGGTAATTTTCTATGAAATAAGTTCAGCATCAAATAACATCAAATAACAGGCAGCATAATAGTAAAGTAGCCTGTTACTGCAATTCACATATACTGCAGAAAACAGTAGTTGTTATGACATAATGTTGAACATAAATTAACTGAATCAGCCTATGGAAGCCCCTGTATTCAGGGTGATGTATTCTCCATACTCTTCTATTTTACATAAAAAAAGAATATCGTGTTTATATAAAAAATATATGTGATGAGAACTAGGAAGTATCAGCTGCCTGAATCAAAGGGCTTAACTGAGGAATACTGAAAAAGAGGAAAGCTCTAATGAGAAATAAGTTCACCTATGTGTAAAAGAGATCAACCAGGGCAGGGCCAGACTACGTGAAATAAGGCAGAGATTCACTCATGAATTCTGTGTCTGCTTTGCTACCATCTCCAAAACAGAAACCACATGTCTCTTTAACCTCAGCGTCAGGTTATACTGAGGTTATAAGAAATTGAAATAGATTTCCCTGGTTGACATCTCTAAATGATTCAACCTTCCCACAGTACATAATGGAATTTCTAAAAAAAATTAAAAAATCCCAACCAAGACCTTGAAAATCTTTTTCTCCTTTTCCTACCACGTTTATATACATAAATATACTTGTATAGGAGTTCAGGAATATTGTAAAGGATATATATTTTCTTTTGTGAACTGTCTCCTGATTTTGAAATGTAATTATTCTGTTCTCTATCATTTTCAAATGTTAATGAAATAATATTTATTGTTTGATTGGTCATTCATACTTCATATTGCATATTATCGTAAGTGATAAAAATAATCAGTGAAAAATTTAGCTTTTAAAAAGTGAACATGGGATTAAATATTTTTCCCTCCCCTTTTCAACCTCAAAATGTCAGGAAAATTAACAGTTTTTAGAGAACATCTCCCTTTTGATAGACTTACTGTTTCAAAAAGCAAATGGTTCAGTCAACAAATTTTTCACACACTCTATTGCTATATCAATCGTTTAAAGTTAGAAACTATGTTATGAAGCAGCCTTTTAATATAATCACACTCTGATTTTGTTTGGGTTTCTGGTTTTCGGTTAGTTGTTTTTCCCTAAGAATTCCTGTCTTTTTGTAGGTACGAAATAGAAAAGGACTATTTCAGATGCATCATTTGTCTTCATTACTCATGTGTGTTTCTGTTCCTTATTATTTGCCTACCTGGATTTAAAGGCAGAACTACTAATTACTCACTAGCCTTTTCTTTTCTTTTTATCCATCTCCCATCCATGTTTCTAAATTGTGAAAAAAGGCATCTTCATGACTTCTCTGAGAAGCGAATAATGAACTTTTTCCCAATATAGAGATTATGCACTAAGAGACAGAGAAGTAAAAATTATGCTGTATGTTAATTTAGAATGCCCAATTCAAGAAACAGATTTTTCAAGATATTAGTTGTTTTGGGAATTAGAACAGAACTCTTACTTTGCCTCAGACTATGACTTACAGTGCATAACACTTTTGAAAATCAGATGCTGTTACCAAATTAGGAACAGAAAATGAAGCTCAGAGCAGAATGAAATTTTAGTTCATTTCGTACATACTTGTGTCTCATCTTGGTTCCAAGCTTTCCTTAATGCATGTTTGGATTTTTAAATGATGCTGGCATACTGTCAGTGATACGTGTCATCTTACAGCCTCTGAGGATAGGACATGCTGATGTGCTATCCACGGTGACTGGTGCCTTCCTTGTATTTTTTGGGACAGTAGAGAATAAAACTCCCAACTCCTGCTTAATTCATTAGGGATTAATGTAATATAAGAAGTGAATAGGCATTTATTCCATGAGTAAGAAAAGCTTCTGTGGTACAGTAAACTACTCATTGTATAATCGTTGACTGTTTAAAAATGAATAATCATTCATATATTCTTCCTCATCTTTGGAAGCAAGTGAAGTCAATAGATACACTTACCAAGATGGGTTGGTAAACTGGCCTTCGTTTTCTTCTCTAGGTCAAGAACCATGAGACACACAGAAACTTAGAATTCTGAAGGACAAACATCTTTGATTAGCTGTTTTATGTGCTCAGAAAAGATTTATTTGGGGGAATAATAGATAGCAAATGATAATCAACAATATGTGCTGCCTTCTCTGGAGAAGATTTAAGGAATCAACCCATGTGTATAAGAATACAGACTTATGTAACTAGCAACATTGCTAGAACTAAAGTGGATTTTTAAAATATCATTATGTAGTTAGTCTCACGGTCCCAGAAGGGGTATGAAATTTTCGTCCAGGAGATGATCAGAATATTAAAATATTTCTGAATATAGAAGATTGCAGTACTCTAGTTACTTAATTCTAGATTCCAATTTTTAGATGTTTCCAAAAGTACTATTGGTCAAGTTATGCAAATCGGACAAGATATCACATCAAAACATTTTAATTGAATTTGCTTGTTACTAAACTGGAAAGAAAATGCTTTTATAGGCTGGAAATAAGTAAAAGAATAGAAAGCTTTTCAGAATGGGGACACATCAGTACTGAGATTGCATGGGGAATGCAGCTGGCACCATTCTACCCAACATAAGGGACAGAGGGAAGGAATTGCATAGAGAACTCTGCTAGTTTGCAGGTGACACTGACTTTTTGTAGTAGTCAGATTGCTGGTATTCAGCAAATCCTACAATGTGAAGACAAAGTTCCTCTCTGTGAAACCAGTGGGAATATTGATTTCAAGAAAAACTTCTCCACTCAGCAGGTAGTGAACTTGTGAGAATTTTTGCCACAGAAAGTTTTGAAGACAACCTTTTCAGATTCATGAAAAGATTAGATAATTTTACAAGCAGGTCCGTAAAGAGAGCCTGAAAGAGCAAATGTGGATGTAAATTATAGCATCCCTAGTCACTTTGAGAAGGAAGTAACTAGACTATACTCTTAAATGTCTCATCACATTACATTGTCCTGGGCCAAATGGACGATTTGTCTGATCCAGAAATACATTTCTTATGTTCTTAAAGACAAACTGTTGTACTTCTGGGTTATCTGAGCCACTGTATCACTATGGACTTTTTCTATGGACACAAAAGTCAAGTCCCATGATTTAGTACAGCTATCTTTCATTACAGAGTTAACTATATTATATTACCTCACTTCTTCTGAGGGTTTAAGAGAGCGGGAAGAAAATTACTGCCTCTCAGAGGAAAACAATACCTTATTGTACAGACATAAATTGATTGCAAGTGAATTCTAACACAAAAGATACCATCACAGTCTCCAGGTACATTCAGACTGGTGAATAATACCTCTTTTGTGTTTTGGGATGGCACATTGCTGTGCATTTTATGCATCCTGGCAACGATAAATTCGTACTGTAGCAGAGCACTGAGGGATCCTTAGATGTTTCTTCAAGATTAAGTAATGAACACTAGCTCTTTCCCAGTACAACTTTTCAGCTCACTAAAACTTTCCATCCACTTGCAAAATAAATGGAACATAGGCTGAAGACGTTTAAGGATTCCAAAGAAGGGAGTTTTAGTCTTAGCCTTAGTCATCTATCCTAGTTAGTCATTTTTATTTTAGTTAAAATGCTATGGACTCTTTATAATTTTATATCCAATCCTTCCTTAATGATTCAAAATTTTCTTTGTATTTTCTGTGTATTCTCTTTTAAAATACTCCAAATTTTTCTATATTGACCTCATTGTGGTTTAGTTGGATTCATCC